CATCGACCAGACTACACAGCGCAATAACCCAGAAGACGGATATCTTCATACTCACCGCTGTGAGAACCTCAAGTCTTACAAGATTCTAGATCTTTCTAGAAAATATAAATTATTTGTTATGTTTTGCCAATTAAATACCGAATTATTGTTCTTGTACAACAAGTAGTTTTGCCAGTAGTAATCACTAGGCACAATCTGTTTTCCAGGTCAGAAGAGTCATCAGAGGAACAATTAAAGACATTTCATCAAAGCGTTGAAGACTCATCTGTAGTGCCTGATAATGAGCATATAATATTAACACCACAAATTGATTTTGACGACCATGGCACTTGTGATAATCTATCTGCATATGAAGTATTCAACTTATCTGCCTATGAAGTTCTTGGTTTCCATAAATGGTACCCAGATGAGCAGAGCACATTGATACTTGTTAAGGATGAAGACATGAAGGGTGATAAAGTTCAGTCTGTGGCTGAACATGTATTTTCAGGTTGCCCTTATGACCAGAACACTGGCATGTTACTTGGCAGTTGTTTCATCAATCATAGTTACTATGTTGATGTTGAAAGTTATTATTACGATATAGAGGGCAGACACATTGAAGGAAATAAGGCCTTGTGTCAAGATAAACACCACTGTCAGCATTGTGGTAAAACATTTCTCACTAAAGTATCATTCAGACACCACTTGAAGGTAGATCATACTGAACTTAATGAATTAAGATGCATATCTTGTAATGATACTTTTGAATCCATAAGCGATTTGCAGTTTCACAAATCCGTTCATAGCCGAAACACAGGCAGTGATGGCCCCTATCTTTGTAGTGTATGTGGTAAAACATTTGGTATATTTAGCACTTTAAGGAGTCATGAAAGAAGAGTTCATTCAAGCCATAAAAACAGTAATGAAACTACTGATGTGAAACACACTTGTAAAGAATGTGGTAAAGAATTTCAATTTCAAGAATATCTTAAAAGGCATATGATGAAACATGGAGAGAAGAATTTTGTTTGTGAAACATGTGGGAAACAGTTTGAAACCCTGTACATCCTGAAGCTCCATCAGGAATGTCACTCAGAAGTGCGCCCATATGGTTGCAAGATTTGTGGTTCATCATACAAGAGGTATAGAAATTTACTTTCCCACCAACAGGAGGTTCATGGGATCTATGCTGTTGGTCCAAGAAAACCGAAAGATGCACACAAACTTCGTAGTAAGTCGAAGAAGAGTCTTATGAAAATGTTCCCGTGTGATGTGTGCAATAAAGCATTTTCAACACGAGCGAAAGTGACTGTTCATATGAGGACTCATACTGGAGAGCGCCCATTTCACTGTGATATGTGCAACAATACTTACCCTTATAGTAGCAGTTTGTATGTTCATCGTAAAGTTGTACATGAAGGTAGGCAGCGGGTGGAAAAAGGGAAATTCCTGTGTGTTATTTGCAATAAAACCTTTTCAACAAGAAATTACCTTGAAGTGCATCGACGGACACACACAGGGGAGAAACCGTATGTTTGCACAGTTTGCAATCGTGCATTTTCTCAGCGTACCAGCCTCATCAATCATACTGCATTACACACAGATGCTAGACCATATGATTGTAGTTTCTGCAACAAGGCATTCCGACGTCGAGAAACACTGTTGGTGCATATTCGAACACATACGGGTGAAAAGCCATATGTGTGTGAAATCTGTAGCCGTGGCTTTGCTCAGTTGACAGACATGAAGAAACACAGGTTAAAGATTCACAATGCACCTCCTCTGAAAAGAAGATAATGAAATTCTGACAGAGTAGCTGGTGTAATTGGAACCATGTTGAATACCAGAGTCACTCTAAGACATTTATATTTACACTGTAATTCTGCTGATGAAGTTCACGTTTGGTTGGTTTTTCTCTTTATGCTAGTTAATTTCTGACACTTTCTTTAAATTATATTTTAAAGCGAAATTTTTTGGTTGATGTGTTCCATGTTGTTTTTGAGTTTGACAGTTGTAGAGTCCCACAATATACATTCACTGTGATTTTTGCTTTAAAGTAAAAGTAATTGCCTTCCATAATCGTTATTCCATTTTCTGTTATGTAGAGTTAGACTCAAAATGATTCATTATGTATGTAATCAAGTTATATGCATATAAATTGTCTGCCTGGAGATTTTGTCTAGTAATATGTTGAAGCATTTTTAGGTGGGTTGATGTTGCATTATTTAAAACCATGTGTCTTTTGTTTATCTAAACTATGTCATCCTGACAGGTTTAATTATGTAGGTCTGACATGTGTTAAAACAATATTAATTTATGCACATGTAAAGAACGTTACATGAATTAAGAATGAATAAATATGTGTAAAAATATACCATGTGTTCGTGCCATCCTGTTTTATACACGTGTCTGTGTGTGTGTAAGTGGGGGGAGTAGTACCTTGTTAAGGAAAATACTGCATATCAGCTTTTTGCCACCTGGGAGTGAGCCTCGCGCTTTATTTCAAGCCGGGCATCAGTTTCTCAGTTGTGAATGGGAGGGGCATTCCCCTGTCGCTACCAAGAGAAGGGCGAAGACTGCATGTACAACCTGGTGATTGACAGTAAACAGTTACAATGACAATGACTTCAGTGCCAGTCCATTCGTTAGACAGGAGATTAATTAGGACAGGTCTACGCCAACTAAGTTGTGTCGAGTTGGTGTGACTCTCTACTGATAACAACTTGGCTGCTTTGTATTTACTCCATGCAGCCAGATACATAAAGCTATGGACATACCGTTACATGCATACACACACTTATCACAGTACTCTCTCAGAATGTTCAGGCTTAGGTGGAAATGTAATATTGAAATGGAGTGAATGAAGCAAGGCATGAGGGTGTTGGCTGGGTTAGTTTGTCTTAGGATAGGGATCATTGTCGGGTTCTTTGAATGTGGTAATGAATTGTTGTGTGCAATTTCTTGACCAGTGGGGTGACTTTTGGCTTCTCGAGAAGGACTCTGCTCCATGGAGTTGGATACATAGCAATACTTTACAGTTAGTGTATTATTTACACTGTCGTTATTTGGTGTGACACTTAAAATAAGAGATGCAGTAAGCAAATTGGTTATCGTAAGTAAAGGCATTCTGTTTTATGGTTATATAACGTAGTAACACAAAAAATTCATTCACGCAGCTTATTTTATTTGGGTTTACCCATTCATCAGATCGGAATATTGCGGAATAAATCAATAAATGGGAAAATGCAAATCAAATATTGGTTGTTGTTGTTTCCAGAGTTCGGGAAACAGTAGTGAAGGAAACTGTGGAAACACATACCTCTGTTGTTGTAATGTCTTATGTTGTAACATGGCCTTAGTTTTTAATGTTGATAATGTAAAGGGTGTAGCTCCATAATGGCTTGTCCTATGTAAAAAAATATGCCAGCACTTCAGACTGGAATCATATGCTTTGCAACAACTTTTCTATTTTTTCTTATTTTTCCAAAATTACTGAGTTATGCTGTGATCCTGGATATGTAGGATAACCCATTTGTATTACCTATAACCAAAAATTAGGCCTGTAGCCTGTAAGATGTGATGATGGTTTTGGTCTGACAGGAAAACTTGATCGTGAGGGTTAAATCTCTTAAAGGAACTCATCTTGTGTAATTGTTTTCTGTGCTCCTTCAGTACAGCTGTGGCCGATGGTAGATGAAATGTGGTCTTGGTATCCAAATTTTTGCTTCTTTGAAAATTAAAGAGCATTATAAAGGTGCATTGTCATAACCATTTCTTCACCACATATCTATAATCAAAATAATCATGGAAAATTGTCATTAATTCAGTACCTTGTCCATAGCAGCAAATAGATTTTTCATTTTTGTTATCTCATGACTCTTATATTGTAAGTTCATTGATTTGATGGACTTTTATCTAGATTGTGGTGTATAGGCTGCTTCTGATGACTGAATTCAGTTGATTGTCATTCCACAGAAAATGTTATATTCCACTGAAACACTACTATGACAGAAAAGGCCGTTGTTTAATAAACTTTCATTTAGTCAAGCCTGTCTTTTTTAATGCACACAGATTGTTGCATATCTTTGTTACACATGATGCATGATTGGAAAAATATACCTCTACAGTCTTTGAGTCATAGGGACATAACATATTGAATGGAGTATGTGAATTGTAGTGACAGGGACGGGCAATGAAGGCAGCATCTAACTTGTCTTTACAGTAGAATGACAAAATTAGTCTTGTGAGATTTGAGAGTTCCGTAGTGTTATGGTGGTCTTGTAGGTTTATGTGCCATGCAGTGGTATTATATGGAACACTTCAAAAACATAATCTGTTATAATGGTGTTCTCTGTGCATTTTCTGAAAATAAAGAGAAACCATAATGCAGGTATTATTAAAGTGGTAACTGTGATTCATATTTGATTATAACAAGCTAGGGTCATGCAAATCTTCCATGATTGTCATTAACATGTATAGAAGGGAATGAAATGTGAAGAAGGACTTTGTTGATGTCTTCTTTCAGAACTCATTCATTGCGAAGTGCTGTGTGACTTTTATTTGCAGGTAAGCAAAAAGGATTTTGTTGGAAGTTTTCATCCAGAACACATTGTGTGATTTTTATCCACACATATGTGGCCATATTCTGGTAATTACCACGTTCTTCTTGTTTTCATTTATATTGCCAATTCCCAGTGTCCTTCCACTTTCCAGTGTTAAGTTTTTAAAAATAAATGTATGTGATTATTACTGTGCAGAGGCCAAAGTGCATTACTAAATATGAAAAGAGAACATTTACATGATTCCTTTAACAGCAAGTGTTTTAAAGCACTGGGTTTGCCTTCAATAGTGTTTTCAACTACCAGATTCAAATATTTGTGTTTTATTTATTTGAAGCCTGAATATCCTCAATTTATTTTCCAGGTTTGAGGACTCTGCAGTGAATCAAATAAAACATTTTCAACAAACTAAAGAAGACTCTTCATGCTTAATCTCCAGTGGTGGAGATGGCCATCATATAAAGGCACAAGTGGATTTCAGTGAGAAGGCAATGTGTGATAATCTGTCAGCATATGAAGTGTTTAGTTTGCAAGCTGTGCGAAGTAAATCAGTATCATTTGATACTGATATTCTGGAGAACCGTACCTCTGAAATATTAGATTATAATATATCCAGTGCTCAGTTTTATCCTGATGCAGACTCAAAAGACCAACTTTCACAATGTCAGCATTGTAGCAAAGAATTTATCTCACTGTCATCCTATAAGCAGCATTTGGAAATCGATCATGTAGACTTTAAAGGTTTTATATGTGAAATATGCAAAAAAATATTCCTGTCAGAAGATGAACTGGTGTCCCACAGAACAATTCATAGTGCAAGTGTGTGCAGAAATTATGAAAAAATTACCCATCTCTGCCACACATGTGGCAAAACCTATAATACTTTGAGCAAATTGAGAATCCATGAGCAGAGAGTACACCAAGACTCTGCCAGCAAACAAGTATCTGATAAAAAACAAATCTGCGGAGTGTGTGGTAAGGAATTCCAGTTTACCAAATACCTGAGGAAACATATGTTGAAACATGGCAAGAAGAATTTTGTATGTGAAACTTGTGGGAAACTGTTTGAAACAAAATATATGTTGAAGATGCATCAAGAAAGCCATTCTGAAGTTCGTCCGTACACTTGCAAAATCTGCAGATCATCTTACAAAAGGAACAGAAATCTTCTCTCTCATGAACAGGAAGTACATGGAATTTTTTCTTTAGGACCAGGGAGAGAAAAAGAGTCTTCAAGCTTCCCTTGTGATGTATGCAAAAAGGAGTTTACTACACAGAAAAGGGTAGCCATTCATATGAGGACCCATACTGGAGAACGTCCATTCCATTGCAAGGAATGTGGAAGTCGGTACACATCACGGAGTAGTTTGTATATTCATCGCAAAGCAGTGCATGAAGGCAGAAAATATGTTGAAAAGGGAGTTTTCTTATGTAGTTTTTGTAGTAAATGTTTTGCAACGAAACATTCTCTTGATGTCCATCTCCGAATACATTCAGGTGAAAAACCTTTTGTTTGCCATGTTTGTAACCGTGCTTTTACTCAGCGAACAAGTCTTGTTAATCACACTGCAACTCACACTGATTCCAGACCCTACCCATGTAATCATTGTAACAAAGCATTTAGACGCCGAGATACACTCATTGTCCATATTCGCATGCACACTGGGGAGAAGCCTCACATTTGTGATGTCTGTGGGCGTGGCTTTGTCACATTGAGTCACATGAAGAAACACAGGCAGAAGATTCACAGTTCTGTTAAATCAAGGAAACATTAACAGATTGAGAAGTATTTCAATATGTGGCAGTAGCTACCTTCTTTGCAAATTCCAGAAGTTCAGTGAAGTAATAATTGTATGTCTAAAGAAACGATCATACCCAGAATAATGAGACAGTCTGAGAATATTTGTTAGTAACTCGTTTTATGCAAATGGGATTAAATATGTTGGATTGTTATTGTGTTTTAATAACATAATGCTACATTTTAAAAAAAAACTAATTTTTTTTGTATCTTATGTGCGTCATGTTTGTGTTTGATTAAATATATTTATTTTGTACAGTCTATACACAAATGTTTGAAGTTTATTGGTGTTGTAAAAATTATATAATATTAAAACATTTTGTTGTGTAAAATATTATATTAGCGTTCTTAATCGTATTTACGATTTCTTAATCGTATTTACGATTAAGAACGCTAACATAATATTTTACACAACAAAATGTTTTAATATTATATAATTTTTACAACACCAATAAACTTCAAACGTTTGTGTATAGACTGTACAAAATAAATATATTTAACTAATTTTTTGTTGTATTAAAACATTTTGAATTTCAAAATTGGCAGAACATCATAGGATTTATGGACTGTGATGCCCTGCAAGTAACAAGGTCATTGAATATCATACCAGTGACTTATTACTCCTTGAGAGGTCTCCGCAAGTGGCAGTAATTTATTCCCAACACAGCTAGATTAACGAATGGAAATGTATGTCCTTGTACAGGAATTTTCATGCACATAATTCATTCCATTTTTAGTCAGTGTATTTTTGGCCTTGGCAAATGTTATATTTGTACTTAGAAATACATGATATCAATGTTCAGTATTCGTATGCAGGTGTCCCAAAAAGGTATACACACAGCTGCAACATTGGTGGTCACTTGTCTGACAGTTGCGCCCTGCTGTCAGCTGTGCCACTTTGAACACCTACATTTGTTTCGCTAATTCGCCAAGTGCCATTGCTGGCATATTTAATGGTTGAGTTTATTAAAATGTCTTCATTTCATTCATTGAATGTGTATACATCTTTTTGGGACAGTCTATGTATTTATCTGTTATAATGTGGATATATTAGTAACATTTATAGTATTCTGTGGCTGTAAAACCCACAGGATAGTATGAATTTATACAATAACCACATCCATTCTTCCTACATTGATTGGCCATAGCAGTGTTCCCTATTCCATGAGTTTCTACAGTGGCCTGTTCATAATATTGAAGATTTAATTTTGGGATATGTGGTGTCTGGAATACCTCTAATGACATGGTATTCCTACCTGTGCATTTGTTGATCAAGAGTGCTTCTAATAATTGGTTGTAGATATATAAATGGATGCACCCACCATGTAGAATATTACACCTTTTTTTTTATGCTGAAGAAATACTTAAGAATTTTAATTTGTTGTTATTAGTGCTCTGAATTAACATGGATTTCTCCTTCATGTCCTTATTAACAAGTTACATGTCTGCCGATATATCCCTCTCTGGGTTCAAATACTACAGATGTTAATATTGTACACACTTCCTGACCAGTTGCAATAAACTTGGTATGAGCACAGTAATTATTGTAGATCTCCACTTCTTGATGTCTTCAGTATGGCAACTGTGCAAACTTGTTGGGAGCAATATTATCACCATTTAATACCCAGTCCTTAAAGTCTTGTGGTGACCACTCTTTGAGAATTGTGCAACTTCCTTTGAGATTTTTTAAGAAAATGGGAAATAGAAAAGTGATGTTGCCATGAATTAGTTTGATTTGATGAACGTAGTAATTGAATTGCTGTATCTTGATCTGTGAATATTGTATAGTGACATGTTACAAACATGTCCTTAGGAGTACAAGAAGTATTAGAACCTACATTGTCGTCTTCACAAACTTAGAACACACAGCAACTTTGATATTTTTAGGTTTGAATATTTAAATTCTCTTACTGTTTGTGGTACAGGCTACACAAAATGTGCACACTTAAAATCTTAATGATACGTTGTCGTCAAGATAAGAAGGAAAATGTCCTTAAATGTGAAACATTTGGCATTGTTATGCATTTTCTTTGTTGTCTGTGTCATATCAATGACAGTGGAAGGATTTTAAAAAAAGATATATGCCTACAGTAGGTATTAATTAAAGAAATATAATAATCTGATAATACAATTTGTTATAATGTTTAATTTCCTAAAGTGGACCATGATCTTACTACCCATTTCTCTGTTGGGAAACAAATGTAATGTGCAGGTACATTATCATCTACTTGTCTGTGCAATTCCTATAGCTTAAATTACCATTGATAATATTTTGGTCAACTCTGTATTCAACTGTTTTTGAAGACATATTTTTAATTTCTGGTCACATGATTAATTTATAGCAGTGGTTCTCAGCCTTTTTCGCTGGTGTACCACTAATTCTAATTTAACACATTAAATGTACCAGTAACCGAATGCGTTCAGGGAAAACTTATTTATAATATCTTCTGATTTTCTTACGTAATTCGCGTACCACTCAACATTGGCTTGCATACCATAGGTTGAGAAACTCTTATTTATAGATTTAGCTGACTTTCTGCAGTTAATCTACATCTCTGAGAAACTGTTAAATTCCTCTCAGATTCAATACTGTGAGATAATGTCTGATGAATTTTTTATTGTTTCAAACGTTTCTTTGCCTGTATTACCAAAATGCACTCAAGTGTTTTCACACACATATGTTCTGCATATAAATAATGTATGATTGGTATATTAAGCACTCTTACATTCTTATATGAGTCCTATGGACACACAAGGACATAACAGACCATACTGAACATGTATGAGATGTAGTGACAGGTTACAGTTTGCAACAAAGCAACCTGTGGCAGGTCCTGGTAGATTTAGTCCTGTTACTTTCTGATCGTTCTTCATACTTGGTAGTTGGTAGGTATTCCTTTGCAATCTTCATATTTCATACTCCATTAGAACATTACAGAATTTATGGCTGTAGTCAGGATTTTCCTTTTAAGGAGTTAGGAAGATTCATATAATAATACGAGTTCCCAAAGCTATTGCTTTTGGATTCTGTTTATGTCCTTACTAGGGGATGTGACTTGCTGACATCCCTCACCAACTCTACCCCAGGAGGGGTGTCAACCATCTTTCTGTTCCCTTGCTCCCTCCCTTCCTATCATCCCTTTCCTCTCCTTAACCTTCCTTCCACTTACGTCAAGGGTTTAGGGTTTGATTTACAGATCTCACTAGAACTAACTTATTATGGATGCACAGAGAAAATATAAGTAATGATTAGTATTACACAGTCTGTTTTTTTTTCCGTTTGTTTACATGAAATGATAGAAAAAAATAGAAAAATTAACTTACTCTAGTGCTAGTACTGAAATGTTAATGGAAATTAGTATTTGATCATGACAAATTGTAGCTGTGATCCCAAGTTCCCATAAATGTTAATAAGAGAGGTTAGAATGTTACATAGAGTACTCCTTTTTTCACTTTGCACCTCATTCACACCAAAGGACTCTACTTATATCCTTTTAGTTTGAGAAATACCACCTTTCCATTTGTTCCCATTTATATAACCGATTTTCAGCCTGGCCTCACCCTTTTCCCATGTTTGATTTTAATTAATTAGTGGTTTACAGATATGAATGTTCAGAAACTGAACTTACTTGCTAAAACTGAAGAGAGAACATTTTGCTACAGCCACTGGCATCAAGTGTTTCAAAGTACTGGTATTTATTTTAATTGCTGACTTCATCACCCATATGACTGATCACTAGAAGTGGAATATTTGTATATTTTTTAAGCCTGAGAAATAGTTCCTTTGTTGCAAAATCAAACATTGCCAATAGTAATCACTAGGCACAATTTGTTTTCCAGGTTTGAAGAATCTACAAAGAATCAGATAAAAAGATTTCAACAAACTAGAGAAGACTCTTCATATTTAATCTTCAATGATGAAGATGGCCATCATATAAAGGCACAAGTGGATTTCAATGAGCAGGGATCATGTGATAATCTGTCAGCATATGAAGTGTTTGGTTTGCAAACTCTGAGGAATAAATCAGTATCATTTTATACAGATATTCCACAGAGTAGTAGCACTGATGTATTAGATAATAATACTTTTAATGCTCAGTTTTGTCCTGATATTTATTTTAGTGATAACAAAAGAACAAGACATTTAACGAAGCCACTTTCACAATGTCATCACTGTGGCAAAGAATTTATCTCACTGTCATCTTATAAACAGCATCAGAAAACTGATCATGTTAATTTCAGACAATTTACATGTAAAATGTGCAAAGAAGTTTTTCCATCAAAAAACAAGCTTCTGTCCCACAAAGCAGTTCATATTGCAAATGCATGTGTAAATGATGACATTACCCATCTCTGCCACTCATGTGGAAGAACTTTTAATACTTTGAGCAAATTGAGAGGCCATGAGAAGAGAGTGCACCAAGACTCTCCCAGAAAACAAATCACTGATAAAAACCAAATCTGTGAAGTTTGTGGAAAGGAATTTCGATTTTCTAAGTACCTGAAGAAACATATGTTGAAACATGGTGAGAAGAATTTTGTATGTGAAGCTTGTGGGAAACGATTTGAAACTAAATACATGCTCAAAATGCATCAAGAATGCCATTCTGAAGTTCGCCCTTACATTTGCAAAATTTGCAGATCATCGTACAAGAGGCACAGAAATCTTCTCTCTCATGAACAGGAAGTACATGGAATTTTTTCTTTAGGACCAGGAAAAGAAAAAGAGTCTTTGAGCTTCCCTTGTGATGTGTGCAAAAAGGAGTTCACTACAAGGAAAAAGGTGGCCATTCACATGAGAACCCACACTGGAGAACGTCCATTCCGCTGTGAAGAATGTGGAAATAGATACACATCACGGAGCAGTTTGTATATTCATCGCAGAGTAGTGCATGAAGGCAGAAAATGTGTTGAAAAGGGAGTTTTCTTATGTGATGTGTGTAGTAAAAGTTTTGCAACCAAACATTATCTTGATGTCCACCTCCGGATACATACAGGCGAAAAACCTTTTGTCTGCAAAGTTTGTAATCGTGCTTTTACTCAGCGAACAAGTCTTGTTAATCACACTGCATCCCACACTGATTCAAGACCTTACCCTTGTAATCATTGTAACAAAGCATTTAGACGTCGAGAGACACTTACTGTCCATATTCGCACACACACTGGGGAAAAACCTCATGTCTGTAATATCTGTGGGCGTGGATTTGCCCAATTG